CTAACTAAGATCATCAAACCAACAACGTTGACAATCAATGGCTCACAAATCAACCTTTGAAAATTTTCCATCCCCACCACTCTCTCTTCTCTATTGTGTTCTGTCTCCTTACTCTTAGCATTTTCTCTAACTCTTGCGTAACTTGTTTTTTTCTCTTTTAACTGTGTTTTCACATTTGTATTGTTTTCTTTATTGAAATTTTCAGAGGACTTGTGAATGGTAGGGAGTTTGAGTCAAGGGAGCGTGTGACTGAGGAATCGTTGTTCCTTGTTTCGGTCGCTGGGGCTGGTAATACACATTTTGCTTTTGGTTGACTTGTCTAATTCAAGAATGTAATTACATGTGAGTTTGAATTGTGTTTGATTAATTGCTTTTTAAACAAGCATGTGCATCTCAAATTTTTCACGTTACTTTTATTCATGTCAATATTTCTATACAATGTTTGTATTCTTCATGTTCATCATACATATATGATAATTGTAATTGTTATTTTATTAATATTATTATTAATAGCAGTTAGAATATTAGTCACTATATTAAACATATGTATATATGTATATGCCAATTAGAGGAATTACTCATTTAAAAACCTCTATTATTTATTAAAGAGAAATAGATATTTTAAGTTATATTATTATTTGTTAAAAGAAAAAAAAAATCAGTTGTACCAAATGTTCATTAAGATGTTTTTTAATAAGAAAATTACATGAGCCATAATTAACCGGACACTTCTTTTATTTTTGTGATTGTTGATGTTTTTTAAGGATAAAGGAAGATAAGAAGACGTCATGGATTATATTTAAAAAATAAGAAGAATCAAGACCAATTAATGCAAGGCTTAGTTTGAAGCCCAATATGACTCATCTCTTAGTGACCCAATTGTTACCCAACACTTTTAGTGAAATAACTTTATTATACGTATAATAATAAGCTTGGAAAGTTAAATGGCTTAGATTTTAGATTTATAACCAAAACTACATAATTAAAGTTGTTTGTGATATAAATATGTTATTTTTCTTTTATTAATTTATAAATAATGTAAAACATTAAAATTAAATTTGTATTTTATGATTTTAGAAATAAAAAATCAGACAAACGATATTAATTAAATAGTGAGATTATCTCAACTCTAAGATTTTTTTTTTAATCTTTTCATTATTAAGAATCTACAAAATTCTTGTAACATTCAGGTTAATGACATCTAATTTGTGATTTCTTCTTTTTATCTAGGTTTCTTTATATTAAATCTGACAACATAAAAGTCTTACCTATTATTATTTATTACTTTAAAAGATTCATGAAGTCTTAATAATAACCTTGATAATTAACTAGTATTATTAAAAACAGAAAAAATAAAGTTAAAATGCTTATACAAACATTAAACCATATATTTGAAAAAAAAAATCATCAACAAGTGATATTTTGAAAATATAAAATTTTATATACAAATATCTAAATTTGATGCAGATAACCAGTGACTTTTCATAACATTATCTAAACATGCAAAACTCCAAAGTCAAAACTGCAAAAATACATCGAACTAAATTATTTAGAATCACATCCTAAAAAATAAATAATGTGGAATTTGTTGAAAAGAAAAAAAAAATGCAAAACTTAACGTTATTTATAGGCTTAGAATTAGAAAGAAATGAAGTAGATACTAGGTGGATTAAATTGACAAGATATGGTGATAAGAGGTAGAATTGGGAGGGACAAATAAGAGAAAATATATGACAACAAACATAAACAAACACATATGAATTAAAGATGGAGAAGTTTGTTGTTGTACAAGATGGGTGACAAAAAACTAAAAACGAGGAGCCAAAAATGTACCAAGTACCTTTAGAAGTGATAATGGAAAGCATGACATGAATCCGTGTAAAGAGGAGACAGAAGATATCACTTGTAGACGCATGAATCCATTAAATGAAGGGGTTTTCCAAGTTTGTTGCCATGCAAAGTGACAGAACATCTCACTCTTGCATAGAATTTAGATTTCACTAATCTTCCCAAGATGAAAGCCCTTGATCTCACTACGAAGGTGAGGTTCAGTGGCAATGCAACACTGTCCAAGTGCTCTTTAGTGTTTCCCAGAACTGACACCCCACCATAGAGAGGAATCTGGTGCCCAAACACCACCACTGACAACTTTCGATAACTCTTTCTCGACTGGTAGAACTTGTGCATCTGTTACCAATTTACACACGCGTCAAATATAAGAACGCAAATTTCTTCTAAAATGTCTAGTAATACAGTGGCAAGAACTCATGGCATTAAATCAATATATTGGATAGATATGGAGCTAATACTCAAAAATGGTCTTTGTATGTGCAAGGTCATATGGCCTAAAGATTAGTTGTAGGAACCCTGGTACGCAATAAAAGTCGTAACAGGTTATAGACTTGTAGGTGAACACATTCATCACAACTTCACTACAGAATAATGATAAAAATAGAATAAATTTGGTTTGACATCCTGCTTTTAAACACTCAACTTATTTACGTATTTTAATAAAAAAAAATTATAAAATCAAGATAAAAAATTCATCTTCGTAAAAGAGTATAAAAGAAAAGTAAATATGTTGAAAATTCTAAATTTAATCTAAAAACATTTTAATAATCAATAATTAACAAAAATTATATCGAATAGTATATTAAATAAATAAATTTATTTGACTTTGTGTTTATTTTTACTTTTACTTTTTTTTTTATCTAGATAATTTCACTTTCAACTCTGATTTTCATCTTTTTCATTCTGAATCTACTCTTAAATCAAAACAAAAATTTAAAAGCATCCCTAATTAAAACAATTAGTATGAATTATTTTATTATATCATATTTAAACAATTTATGATTAATTTTAATCCAATAAAAAATTCTTAATAAATTTTAAAGAACATATTCGCTCAACTATTCTTTCTTTTTGTGACCTAAAATTGATCAACTATCTTACCTCAGAATTCTCATAAAAAATGCTGTTGAAGATTCTCATAAAAAAGAATAGCCCGCCGTATGCCCCAAAGCTCAAGGCATATTATATCAAGAAAAATCATCACGAGTGATCTATTTTTATTAAAAAATATTTTTCAAATCCGTAAGTTGATAACCATGTTCAAATATCAAATTGTAAGTAGCGTAGAGAGAAATAAATCAAAATAAAACAGAGGAAAGTTACCGTTACATTTAATAAATAATAAAAAACTTTAATCACTTTTTACTTATGGAGAAGGGTTATCCGGAATGTGGGTTGGTTGGTGCATATGGAAATCCAAAAGATTTGAATGCAATAATTTCTGAGAAGGTCACGTGAGAGGTACAGTCCCATTAGAAGGAGCAATAAAGCCTCTGAGGGTACTCAATAGTCATGAAAAGAATCATCAAAAATGTTTGGTGGGTCCCCACAACTAGTATGATGTAGGAAGGGTAGGCACATAGCAGCTTTTATACACACCCCAATAAAGACCACCAATCAAATTCAACTTGCTCAGAAACCCCGTTCCCACACACCCCGATGCATGCTTAATTCTGTCCCCACCCCCACACCCATGCACTGAGGCCTCCCTTGGACGTAGCCAAACCAACCTCTCTCTCCCCCTTTTTCAACGTCAAATTACAATAACAATTAAAAGCTGAAATCCCACTTTTTAAAAAACCTGAACTTAGTTTAAAAATCCAACCACAGAAAAGAGATAGTTAGTTGTTCTGTACCTGCCCAGAGGCTATTGCAAGCTGGTAATAGCTAAGCTCAAGAGGTGTGGAAGTGACGTGAACGCCGAAGAAAGTCGCAGGATTTCTGTACATGATTCTCACCGTTGAGTTCAGCGACAACATATCAGTTGGTACTCCACTTCCATCGTTCCCCGACTGAACATTCAAGTTTTCGAACACTATGCTCTGTTCCACAACATAAAAACATCATTACCCTATGTTACCAGATAAAACAAATACCATCACAGACATAACATAACATAACTTAACATAACAAGAAAAAATATACAAAGGAATCGAATCAGAAAGAGGCCCCACCATGCCACATTCTTAGAAATTAATCATTGCTTCCTCTGCTCTATGCAACCCAAAACCAAGCCAAAGCAACTACTTCATGTATGAATGAATGATGCACACAGCCGTATATGGCAATGGATAAAAATAATATCTTTAATTAAATTGTAATTAAACCGAGTCAGGGGAAGACCAACTCGGCCGAATGAAGTCGGAAAATGTTACCTTCACAGTGAGTCGAGGCTTGTAGCTCTTGCTGGCGCCCCAGAGGATGATGGAGAAGAGTGTGAAAAGCATGACGAAGAGGAGGAAGAAACAGAAGTACAGGCGGAGGTTGCGGGAGGAGCGGTCGAGGTCGTCGCCGTCTTCGCCGTCGTCGTCGGGGTCGGCGTCGTGCTGAGGGTGGGGGTGGAGCTTCTTCCAGTTGGAGGAGAAGTTGCGAGGGTTTTTGAGGGAGGCGGAGAAGCGAGAGGTGGAGGATTCGCGGGAGTGGTGAATGGGGGAAGAGAGGTAGTAGTGGAAATGGTGGTGTGGAGAACCCATGGGGCTTGAACCGTACGACATTTTCTCCACGTCGTGGTTGGAAGGGCTCTGGACGTAGTACAGTGGCCGCCGCGGAGGGGAACGAGCCGGCGACGATTGCTCCATGCTGTTGCTCGTTACCTCGGAGTCCGATTTTGTGTGCATTCTTCCTCCCATTTTCTTCTCTCTTCTCTCTCTTTCTGCATATAAATACTACAACCATGGAAGCTTTTTAGTTTTTATACAACACTAATAGAAAAATTAAAATTATTTATTAATTAATTAGTAATGGGTGGTATTAACTAATAATTTAATAAATGAGATTTCGATAATTTTTTTTTTGAAATAAATTATTCTTGCCAGAAACAAGAAAGACAAATTATTTTAGAAAACTGTCTTTCATGGTTTTCAATAATCTTGGTTTCTATAATACAAAACCATGATTTCTATTCTCCATTTTCACTCCATTTTGTCTCAATGGCTTACTCTTCACGCTATGGAAGCACCGAACATCCTTCTGGAGTTAAGAATGGGTTCCTTGATTTGAACTTTGCGAAGAATGTTTGTGGGGCCCATTCTCTTCAATTTTTTTCCATTTTTCAATTTCAAGCATTGAATAACAGATTTCAGTTTTGGACCGGCATGGAAATGTGTTGGAATTGGAGCATCCTTTGGGTACTACAATGCAGTTTCTATCAAGAGAATTTGACTTATATTTTATTCAAAATTTCAAGTCTTACTCCTTATTAATAAAACTGAAACAACCTTTGATTTTACAAAAGAAAATATATATGATTAACATTTTTTATAAAAATAAATCCTTTTTGGTAGTGGTGGAGTCTCTTCCAAACTAAGATACCACCATTCAGCTGCAACTGAAACAAACTTAGCCCATAGCTTAGAACTTTAGAAGAAGAGTGGTTTGTTTTTTTTTTTAAGTGAAAGTCTTGTAGAAAGATGCTAATGTTATGTTCTGACCCAACAAGTTACCACAAAATCACGCTTCTTCATTGGTTTGTATGAAGCATCCTCAACTCCTTCGACCCAGTATTAGCTGTGAAGAAAACGACCACAGCAACCAGATTTTTCAATGGACTTTTCCACTAAAATATAAAAGAAAATTGAGGTGAAAACATCACATCAATTTCTCAAATTATAACCTTTCATTACACCACCCAAAAATAATCTTTCAAATTCACTTTTACATATTTATATGTAATGATTATTTTCAACTCTTTACTCAGCATACAACCTAAAGTCAAACTAGAAATTTAATTTATTACTATTTATTTATTAACTATTGTCTCCAAATAGTAATCATGCTTTTCTTTAATTTAATAGATTTGGTTTGCACAACAATGCTCATTAGGAAAACAATAATCACCAACCTTTCTAATTTCTACACTTCATCATCTCATTCCACTTTCTTCTCTATCATTAACAATTAATGATAAAAATAATAATAATAATAATATTATTTTGATTTCTATCTAGCATGCATTATTCTTTCTAGAAAAATTCCTTTTCTAAAAAAATGTTTGTTTGTTTAATTTCTGTTGCTTAAAAAATATAATGAATTGTTAAAAATTGTTATCAAATTTACATTAAAGGATGAAATTTGATAAAGCTACGAGTTAAATTTATTAGCTAATTTTACCACTTCCAGTTGGATGATTTCAATAAAACAAATAGCATGTCTACATCACTCTTACATAAATTTTAATTAAAAAAATTGTTCAAATATTACCTTTTTAATATTTTTTAATCTAAAAGAATATTAAAAACATTAAAATGTATATTGGCAGGAATAAATATTTTCACCTTATTACTAATTTTTTCAATATAAATATTTATCTAAAATAACTTTAGAAAAAATAAGTAATAATTAACTATATTTTATAAAGTTTCTTAAAACATTTTTAAGAATCTTGTTATTAAGAAATTCATTTTATTGAATAAATATGTTCTTACTAGAAATCGCAACTAGGTATGTAAAATCAAATCTGATCATGATAAAGTATAAAGTCAATTAAAAATATTAAAATCCAAAATAGAAATTATATAATTTCAATTATTTTGCAATGTACTACAATTTCGACACCACATTAAACCACATTAAATCTCTCAAGTTTTGAATCAAAATAAGATAACTCAGTCACAGTACTTTTGACTTACTCTTAAATTTAATTTTAAAATAAAATATAATCTTAATTAAATTCATAAAAAAACAATTAGATCAAATATTAATAACGAGGACAATATAAATTATACATAATAAAATTGATTTTAAAAAAATTAAGAATATTCTGATTATGAATACAACTTCCCAATCAATTAAAATATTTTCACTACAAACTAACATCATAATGTTATCGAGTCAGACTCAGTTTTATAAAATGAATTAAAGGTCTCATTATTTTTAAAATAAATATTCATAGCACCATAATCCAGTAATATAGAGTTGATTACTAAAAAAATTTATATGAAAATATTTTTGCAAATTTTTTTATAAAATTGTAAAAAATTGATTTTTTATAAATTTAAACAATTTTTTAAAAGAACATGTACACAAAATATTATAAATACATCATTGTAATTTAAAAAATGTTTGCATAGAATTTTTTTTTATATATATATATAATGGTCAGGATTTTTTTCATTAAATATCAATGTCAGTTTTATATTCATTACATCTATTCATGGTTTCAGACCAACTGAAATTGATCCATTCAAAATACATTTTTTTGCTATACCTTCTTGTGTTATTTAAAAAAGTCATACTTTTTAATTTTAACAACAAAATAAAACTATAAGAACTTTAATTTTCATAACAAATACAGTTAATTTTGTAATTATTTATATATGTAGTTTACTTATCTTAAGAATAGAAATTAAAGATTTTTTTATCTTCATTTTCATTTTAACAAAATAAATTATTATTTTAAAGCATCATATTAAAAAATAACAATAATAACGAAAAATAAGTAAAATCTAACTCTTAGTTAAAAAGGATTACACTATTTAAACTCTAAACGACAAGCCTTAGTGTTATTCACAAGAAAATAATCATTGATATAGAGTGAATATTTTACTTTAATTCCTTAAAAAAAAATATTTATTCAATGGTATATTTAATTTAGCATGTAATTCAAATTAGAAATAAAGTACAAATGATTAAATTAGTAAATAAGATATTTCAATTTTAAAAAACAATCCCAAGCTAAGATATATAATTCAATAGTTTTCAAATGAAACTTTTAAAAATGCATATTATACAAGTCAAGTAGAGAGTATAAAAGTTATAATTGCTAAAACAATACAATTCCTTCCTTAAAAAAAAAAAATCATAAAACACCATTTTTCTGGCTGAAAAAAATAATCGAAAGGTTTTCTGAACAGTTTTAAGTGTGGAATTCACTTTGTTACTGAATCTTCGATTTGATTACAGTAGTAACAGGAACCCTAATACAGTAAGAAGTAAAACCTGGAAAGAAATTTGTATAGAATTTGATTTCATTTCATCATTGATTTGGTACAAAATAATTATTAACTCGCTCCAAAAAGTGTGCAACAGTGCTGATCCAGTCCAAACACAAAAAAATAATTACGGGCTATCTTGATTGGAAACAACGACAGTGCGCCCATTACTACTGGGCTGGGCTTGGTTGTTAGTTTCCTCGAACGCTTTGACAAGGTCAGGGTCCACATTCTCCTGGGGCTCCCAAGTGGGCTCTTCCAAATCGGCCCATTTAACCAAAAACTCCGGCGTCCCTTCATCGGCTATCCTTTTTGCAAGCACCGCCTCGGCCACGGCGTATTCAAGGCCAGCCTCGTAGTCTCTGACCAGATCTTCCGCCACAAACTTCGCCTTCACCCATTCATTCGCACCACCGTCCTTCCACCATACAAGGTACTCCAAATTCTCTCCCTTCCCTCTCCGTTCCAGAATCTCCTGCACCTCCGCGAACTCGAACACAGCTCCTTCCAAAACCCTAACCACTCCCTCGAGTCCAATCCTGCGCCCGAACTGCATCGGATTCCCCTTCGGCGTCGCCTTCAGAATCTCCCGCGCCAGATCCAACGCGGTTCTTCCGCGGTCATCCGCCACCTCGGGATCCACGCCGAGATCCAGAAGCAGCTTTGCCACGCCGGGCCTCACGTACCCCGCCGCCATGTGCAACGCCGCAAGACCGCCGCTGCGATCGCGGTGGTTCAGATTCGCGCCGGCCTCAGCCAACAACTTCACGCACGGCTCCGAACCAAGTCCCGACACGAAGAGAAGTGCTGTACGGCCGTCCGCGTCAACGGCGTCGATGTCGCGGCCGTCGCCGGAGTCGAGGATGTTCCTCAGCGCGGACTCGTCGGCCTTCTTCGCGGCTGTCCACCACGGGGTCTCGTACTCGGCGACGACGTCTTTGGCGATGAAGTCGGCCGGAACCCAGGAAGGCGCGTGGCCGTCTTTCCACTCGATGAGGTACTCCATTCCGGCTGCGGTGTCGAGTGCCCTGCTGCCGATGATGCCTTTGACTTCGCCATAGGACTCGTCTTCGGTTTCCTTAGAAGCTGCTTGTTGTTGGTTTTGTAGTGCGGCAGTGATGTGGCGGAAGCGCGTGGGGTTGTGGCGGATGGGGAGAAAGGGTTGTCGTTTAAGGAAGTGTTTGGGGTTTGAAGAGAGTTTAGGTTTGAAGTGAGAATGAGAAGCTGGTTTGGTGACGAAAATAGCTTCCATTAATAATCTGGTATGGTTTTGCTATGATTTCTGCACTTGGGGTGTGTTTGGGAGGATTGAAGTTGAACATGTGGCAGTGACAGTGGCGGAGTGAAATGGGGTTTGTTTGGGAACTTACTGGATAAGGAACCACATCCATTTCGTGGCTGCGATTGGATCTCACGAAATTCTAACCGCCAAACTGGACACTCTTTTGTTTCTTTCTCTGCAATTTTTTTTTTCCTAAATTATTTTTAAGCCTTGGCGCCAATTAATTGAAAAAACTCTAGCCACAAGTTTGTGTGGTTCCTTCTGTTTCTCAAACATTCTGCACAAAAATTTGTCTCTTCACATGGAGGAATTTATAACTACCTCCACATAAAAGTTAATGTTGTGAGAAACATAAACTCTCAACAACATTTTCAAAATCCCCCACTTTCATAAATTATTGTCTTATTATTTTATAACTTTCATTCTAGAATATATTAAGCTCAATTTCATAATTAATTTTTTTGAAGATGATTTACATGTTAATTTTGAAATTTAATTACAAAACCATAAAATTAAATTTCATTTGAAAAAATAATAAATTATATTCCAAATATGAAAGAATTGAAGATGGCGTGTGTTATTATTATTTACCAATAAGAAAAGAATGCATAATTCAATTTCCAAATAAAGGCCCATTTTTAAGCCCGCAGAGTGCATATTACTGTATTTGTATTTTGAATTCAGGGCTCCGGAATACTGCTGGGTTGGGCCTTCTTTTGTTCGAACTATTAAACAGTAGAGAGAGAGAGAGAGAAATTTCATTTTTTGTTTCTATAAAATTTTACCCTTTATAATTTCCCATAAATGTGTACTTTTTTGTTTCTATATATAAAAAAATATTGACATGATCGTCAATAATAACAATAAGAACACAATATATTAGTATCAAATTTTGAACAGAAACTACATTTATATATTATCAACAAAAGTGTGAGAACCAAATCTAAATCAAGTCAACGTAAAAATAAAGGTGGAAACTGAAAAAATTTATAAGCCACCAACGTTACGTATATGTACCCTTATTTTTCCTTGCACCAGCTCATACGCTTCAATCAAGGTGGAAAATCTTTGAAATTGATTTATATCATTCAAACGTCATAACTCCTAACAAAGAAACAAATAATAGTAACATGTCAACTGAAATGTAAGTTGTCAAAGTTGGAGCATAAGAAACGGGTAATACTGGCATGTGAGTCATTTGAAACTAACCAAAAACATAACATATAAATTATGTATGAAACGAAATAAAGCATCAGTGATCTCTGCATACCAAATAGTCAAATCCACCAGGTTGTCACGAGAGAGTCAACAATAATCAAAATTTCCACGTCACCCTAAACCAAATTTATCTTGCAAGTTCCATATCTTATTCCTTCTAGCTGCAATGAATAATGAAAAGAAGCAAAACCCACCACCCAACACCAAAGAAACATCATACGTAGAATGTCCCAGAAGCGACAAAGGCATTATAATTGTTTCCGCGTACAAATATCATTGTTTGGGGAAAATTAAGAATGATTAAGATACCGCGTGTCACGTCAGAATTCGCGGCCGAATACACTCTTGTACAGCTTCAACATTGCTCATTGCTAACTTCACATAACCACACGCATTCACCGCCAAACTTTCCATTCCCTTTTCCCACCGCTTTAACTCGTGCCATTCCAACAACCATTTCTATTCGCTCCTCCTTTTCATTTTTTTATTGCACAAAAAATGTTTGTTAAAATGATTGTTATGTTATGTAGTTAGTTACCTTACCTACAAGGCTCCTAAGTTGTAACCTTCCCTATTTATTGTCCTCTCATGTTATAAATACAACATAAGGTTTCCGTCTTGCTACTTCAATTATAACCCTCTCCACACTTTTCTTTCCTCCTTAAACCAAACTCCAAACCATTTCTTTCCTACTCTCTCATCAACATGAAGTTCATCAATAAACCATCACAATTAAGTGCCCTTTACAATTTCTGTTCCATTTTGCTGCTTTGGGAATTTGTTTTTGTTGCTGCGGAGGACCCTTATAGATTCTTCGACTGGACCATCACATATGGAGACATTTATCCTCTGGGAGTTAAACAGGAGGTTGTTATTAAATTATCGTTTTTTAATCTGCTGTTCTTTTATGTATGTTCTCATTCTCAATGTTGGGTTGGAATATGTCTTGCATTTGTAGGGTATTTTGATCAATGGCCAATTCCCTGGCCCTGAAATCTATTCTGTTACCAATGACAATTTGATCATCAACGTACACAATAACTTGACCGAGCCGTTTCTTCTATCATGGTAACAACGCTTTCTTTCACTGTTTTAATGTTTCATTTTTTTTTATTTCATTATCTTTCGCTGAACTGTTAAAAACATAGAATGTTAATACAAATGTAGTTCATAACAAGTTTGTGAAAAACAATGCTCTTAACTTAACGCGCCCACTACTTAATGCACTTTTCAACTAAAGGCATTGCTTGCTTCGTACAAAAACTCATAAATGTCTTATTCCGCTTTCCTTTTTCCTTTTATAGAAAATGCCGAAGTTTCCTATTCATCTTGATTTACCTTGTTTTGAAAAAACGCGTTCATACCCTTGTTTTTGAAACTCCCCCACTCGTTAGATTAGTGAAGACAGTCAGTTGTAGACGAATCCGTGTTAAAAAGAGTCATAATTTGTTTTGTATTACCATTCCATGCATAGAAAGATCTAGGAAAAGAGTTATAATATAATTATTTTCCTTTATGTAAGTAGTTTAAACTAATTTTGGTTTAGCCAACGTTCAAACGGCACATATCGAGAAAAGAAAAATATAAATATTCTAGATAATATAATATGGTAATAAAGAAAAATGTACGTGTATATCATCATTACTTTTCTATAATAGGAGTTTAAGTTAGATTGGAATAGCAAGCAAGGAAGCAACTTCAGTTTTATTTTTGTTGCTGTGATTGATGAGGAGAGAGGAGATTCTCCATAATCCTTTTGTTCAGTTCACATGTGACAGTGACAGTGACAGATGTATAAAAAAACAAAACACGGACTTAATAAATATCTCATCTCACCCCTCACTTCGGCCCTTTAAGTCTTGTCACGGATCAAACCCACTCAACTAAAGGCCCACCTAACTGGAACATCTATAATTCACGAGTCAGGCCCTTAAGTCCTACTGTTATGTCTCCTACATTAGTGTTATTCTTCCCTAGTCAGGCCCATGCTTGTTTGGGCCCATTAATGTCAATAAACAATTGGGCATTTACCCTTCCCTTAAACCCAAAGAAAAATACTTGTTTTAAAAAAACAATTTTTTTCTTCTTTTTCTGTAAAAAAATTATTGGATTGACTATAAACTGCATAATAATAAAGAAAAAAACAGTAATATTCATAATAAGCACGAACACCATAAATAAAATTAGAAAAAGAAAAAAAAGTGATTTACATTATGTCTTGCTTACTTGTTGCTCTGAATGCAATAGGAATGGTCTTCAACAAAGGAGAAATTCTTACCAAGATGGTGTTTATGGAACCACATGCCCCATCCCTCCTGGAAAGAACTTCACTTACACACTCCAAGTCAAGGATCAAATTGGAAGTTTCTTCTATTTCCCATCTCTTGCTTTCCACAAGGCAGCTGGTGGTTTTGGAGCAATTAAAATCCTTAGCAGGCCAAGAATTCCTGTCCCATTTCCAGACCCAGCTGGTGATTTCAGTCTTCTTATTGGAGATTGGTACCAAATCAATCATAAGGTAATCAATCAAACCCAAACATTGCTCCTAAAATTTGTATGTTACATATCTATTTTTCACTTTTCATCCACATTTATTGACAAATGATTTATTTATGTTATCTCAGAAGCTTCAAAGTGTTCTTGATTTTGGACATAGACTTCCACTACCTCAAGCCATTCTTATCAACGGTCGTCCAAATGGTACAACATTCACAGTTGAACAAGGTATGTCTCTATTTATTGTCCTTTCCTCTACGAATGTGGATTTTTATTTTTTGTTTAAGGTTATTGAATTTTGTATGATAATGTTTGTTTTCTCATCTCTTAATGGACAACAGGGAAAACATACAGGCTTAGAATATCAAATGTTGGACTTCAAAACACACTCAACTTTAGGATTGAAGGCCATAACATGAAGTTGGTGGAAGTTGAGGGAACTCACACCATACAAACCACATATTCCTCATTAGATGTTCATGTGGGACAGTCTTATTCTGTTCTGATCACAGCTGATCAAGCACCCAAAGATTACTACATTGCAGTGTCCACTCGTTTCACTGACAAGATCATCACAAGCACTGCCATCCTTCACTATAGTAACTCCCAACAATCTGTTTCTGGCCTAATTCCTGGTGGCCCAACTGATCAAATTGATTGGTCCATCAAACAAGCTCGCTCAATTAGGTACCTTCCATTTTTCTCTATTTGTTTTTTCACTTCACCACATTTCACGTATTATATCTATATTACTACTACGGTTGTCCATGAATATTTTCGGCAGAATTAATGAACCCTTAATTACTTTGGCTCACAATAAACTTTTACAATTTGCAGGACAAACTTGACAGCAAGTGGACCAAGGCCAAATCCTCAAGGCTCCTACCATTATGGTTTAATTAACATTAGTAGGACAATTACATTACAGAGCTCAGCAGAACAGGTGAATAGGAAACAAAGATATGCTGTAAACAGTGTTTCCTTCATACCAGCAGACACTCCGTTGAAGCTCGCTGATTACTTCAAGATTGGTGGGGTTTTCCAAGTTGGAAGCATCCCAGATAGCCCTTCTCATAAACCCATGTATCTTGACACCTCAGTCATGGGAGCTGATTTTCGAGCCTTCGTTGAGATCGTGTTTCAGAACCACGAAAGCATTATCCAAAGTTGGCACATTGATGGATACTCATTTTGGGTTGTAGGGTAAGTTTTCACATTTCTCATCTATGATACTATCTCCATAACTCTTTTAGTTTGATAAGTACACTTCATGTCAGTGAAATTTTAACGTGACATTTATTTTGATTCAGAATGGATGGTGGTGTGTGGACACCTGAAAGTCGTAACCAGTACAACCTTAGAGATGCTGTATCAAGGTGCACAACACAGGTTAGAGACTTAGTACTTAATTGTATTTGGTTGTCATATTTCCAAATTCAGCAACGAACAATTAAATGAAAAATGTTGTGTTACAGGTGTATCCCAAGTCATGGACTGCAATTTACATGTCACTCGATAATGTGGGTATGTGGAATGTGAGGAGTGAATTTTGGGCACGACAGTACCTTGGACAACAATTCTATTTGCGAGTGTATTCACCAGTCGGATCCATCAGGGATGAATACCCACTTCCCAAAAATGCTCTTCTTTGTGGCAAAGCTGCAGGGAACACAAGTAGATGAGGATCTCTGCCAGAATCAAATCAATCAATCTTTAACACCAACTATGTCTCTCAAGAACCTATCCATGTATAGGGACTCACTCAGTCCCATTCTTTGCAAAATTGTCTTACGAGTTCTTTGTATTACTGCTTTAGCTCCATCCTGTTATTATAATAATTAAATTGTTTCCATTGATTTATTTTTTATACAAATAAATTTCTCACATGTATTAGTAAATTTCTTGTTTTAAATACATAAATTGCTTTCATCAAAATGCATTCCCTATGTAAATTTGAGATGTCATTTGTTAGATTTGATGGATAGTGTTAAGGTTCGAACATAAAATGAATTGACAATATGTGGATTAGTCTAACATGTATTTAAATCATACCAAATGACATGAGGTAGGTGATGTGAGACTTTCAACACACCCCCTCCAACGAAGCCTGCCGAACCAGGCAAAGGGTACGTTTGACCCACTAAAGGGTAACTTTTGGTCCATTACAATAACCGGAAAGATGTTAGACTTTGACTCTGATACCATGTTTAGGTTCCAACATAAAACTAATTGGCAATATGTGGATTAGCCTAACATGTATTTAAATCATACCAAATGACATGAGGTAGGCGATGTGAGATTTTCAACACATAGAATAGTTTGTTTTACATTATACGGTGTAAAAATAGTTTTTGTAAAAGTTCACTCTCATATTAATATTCAACAATTTATTGGGTGTATGGTCACTTAAGGATAATTTTTTTATTAGTTACTAGTTCATTATAAAATTATCTTTATTTATAGCTTAATCTTTTAGAGTATATAAATAGCAGAAGACAAAAACAACAAATAGAAAAGAGTGTTTTTTATGAGATATAGAAAAAAAAGTAAGGCAGAGAATAGAAGAAAAATATATTATTCATAGTAGTTTCATACAAAAAATAGTTTGAAGGAGAGGTTCTATTATTCCTATTATTCTGTATTTAATTTTTTATTATCTTAATAAATACTTGTTAATATTATCTGATATCTACATTACTAATGAATAGAAAGTGTTCTCTTCATCTTTTGTAACTTAAAAAGAAATTGTGTTATATTTATTAATTATTATTAGTAAAAAAATTTATCTCTCGTGAGTTTTTTCTTCATATTAGAGTCTATTCTTATTTATAGAAAAAAAAATTGTTTTTATTTGATGTAATTTTTAGTATCTTTCCCAATATTTTCAGATACTTTGTTTTTAAGAATATTTTAGAATGAGATTTATTTACTATAATTTATTAGAAACTAATATTATGTTAATGTAAATTAAAAAGAGATGCTTATGTAATTCTCACTCCATCAATTATGAAGAGTTATATTATATTTGTTTTAGAACTCTCTCTATGTCAGACAATATTAATATATCTCATATAACGAGTTGATCTTAAATTTCGGACAAGACCAAATTACGAGAAAAAAGATAAAAAAATCATAGAAAGGGAGTAAGTCACAAGCTAAAAAAGAAATATCAAAATATTGGATTTGGTGGAGTTGAAAGAAAGTAAAATCATTAATAAGAGACAAGATAATAACTCCATTACTATTAAGGAATGGAGGTTTGATAATAAAAATAAAATAAAATATATAAAATATTAGAAACCTAGTCATTATATAAAAGAGTATTGATTAAGAGGTGTCCAAACAAACCCAATAATTGTGCAAACTTGACCCAAAAAAAAATGCTCTAAAATTGCAATATTTTTGGAAACCATAAGAAGCAAATCCTCCCATGATAGTTTATAGTACTTAGATTTTCAGTGTCTCTCACTCATATAAACTCTAAAAAATTAGAATTCGATTTACAAGGAGTTGATGGTCTTGATAAGCCTTTCTTTGTGTCACAAGCAAACCTGAAAGTGTTGGTGCAAGTGATAGCTAATACTCACATGTAAAATGAAAATTACAAAAGGGAGACACACTTAACATGTCACGGTGTGCGTTTAGCAATTCCTTCCGTCACTGTGAAAGACAAACGCAGAAAGAATGGCTAATGGCTCTCATTAACCCACTCAGCCCACACGTACGCTTTAGCCCACATTATGACCCAAATAGAAGGTATTTTAGGGTTTATTTTTTCCTTTTTCTTTCTTCACGATGTAGACAATCACGCTTTCTAATTTATCTAATCCCAAGCTTGGCTTCGATTTCATTGAAGAGTTTAGTCCATAATACGACCTTCAAGCAAAATTATGCAGATAATTATGTAGGTTGAGGTAAGCTGTTAAAAGAAGAATTTGTTTTAAGCTACTAAACAGAGTCATGGACTCGTTAATTGAAGATTCTAATTAAACAAAAATAAAAGCTGTACTCAGTATGGTACATGGAGTAGTAAAGTTATGGAAAGAAGAAGCTTTAGTGCTTTTATTTTGGCTTGTAAAAAGGTAATCGTTGTATGCGTACACGTTATCTGTAAATTATTGTTTCAAACTAGCCATGTTCAGATTTTATAAAACTTAGTCAAATTCACTTTATAATTATCTCTAGGCTGTACACAGAAATAACTATTGGTGTCTAGAGTAAATAAGAATTAAAATTTTAATTTATCTTCAAATTTTATTTATTTATTTAACCATTCATTTAATCATGGCTCCAATGTGTGTGTGTTCAAATAAATTAATTCGTCGTACAAACAATGCAACTGTTCGATCACGATATTTGTTTCACTGATGCGATTCCAAAAATTTCATCTAAAATTACGACATAATGATATAATAATAAAATTTCAAACCCTCGTCCAATAGTTTTAAATTTAAAACAGAATAACCAATTAAAAAGGATTTAAGATTAGAATACCACCAAGTTTTTAATCATAATCCTAACTAACCAAAGTCTCAACAATTTTTTTACTAGATTTGCAACTAGAATACACGCGTTTCAGGTTATGGGATGAGGAAGTGAAAAACGGTGATAGTTGCAGCATTAAATTGCAACTAGCACATACACGTGTTTCTGGTTCCTTTTATGATTGAGGCAAAAGCATCTTTTCTGTGCTGTGTGTGTTTTGGTTGGAATGCAGATGGTGTTTAGTTTTTTCCTGATGGCGATTCTGGATGCAGATAATAGCTTTGTGAACTCAATTATGTTAACTTTCTTGAAGAGTAGCCACATTTATGTTTCCTAATTAGGTAGTCTATTAGTCGATTGGAACATCAATGAAACAAAACAAAGCATGATCAGTGCAAGGCAAGACCTAGTGGTGGAATGGAATTGACCACAAAGAAGCAAGCAGGTTCCACGAGTGTGGGTGTGGTGGAGTGAAATCAACGGGAGCGAACTGGGTACGAACAAAGTAAAGGAAAAAGGTAGAGCCCCTCTCTACTCTCTGGTCGGATTTCGAAACGATTTCCGTGACGCAAAAGATTTCTTCTGCGACGACGCGTGCTTGGGTTTCCTCTTCTACACCAAACACATTACCGCACTGTACCATACTAGCACCACCCAGAAAAATAAAGGCTATGCAAATTGCAATGCATATGTAATAAAACAAACCAAAGTTAACGTGATCGAAGCGGTAATACTTTCGCTACACACTATGTCAGTGTTGTCTGCGCCATGCCACGTTTTTTTACCAGGGAACCTTTTAACACCGGGACCCACACCCACAGTAGCTCATTAGATGAGATTAAAATATTGATGGCAGCGTCCACCAATGCGTGGCTGTTGAATTGAAGATGAGATTGGGCACAGATTAAGATTGCCTACACACATCCCGATGCAGAGATAACCGGCGTTTGGTAATGTTCCGCAGGTGGAGTTACCTCCATGCTGATCCCACTCGTATCCAACCAGAGGACGCCACGTCATGACTATTTCCATGGTAGGTGGACCCTAGGGAAAAGGACCTTGTCGGGTGCTTAACGTAACCCTGGTGTAACGGAAAGACACTCCCTGCAAACGGCGTCTCTTTTCTTGCTTTTGCCCCCATCAAATCATCACCACCACCACTATTGCACTATCTCGCACAGAGAAGCCAAAGGGAACGTTGCCAGTTAACCCACGCTGTCCCCCACTGCTACTTCACTTTTATCTTTCCCTTTACCATTTCCTCATTGTTGCTAACACGCTGCTGCACCACCGTTCTGTCAAACCAATGTGCCTGAGATCTGCGTGAGATTTGCGGGGAACCATGGGGAGTGTTTCGTCCGAAGATGGTTCCGACCAGCAGAGCGACCGCTGCGGAAGCTACAGTCTCAGTGCTGACGTCAGCGAGTCCGAGAGCTGCGGTAGCTTCTCCGCGCGCCGTTTCCACGCCGACGGAGCTTCCACCTCCGCCAACCTCTCGCCGCGTCCCGTCAGCGCTCACTTCAACTTCCCGCCGGCGCAGGTAATGCTTCCCGTCATTGGCGGTAAGGACGTCGTCGTTTGGGATCACAAGCGCGACCTCGATCTGTCCGGTACCCTTCCTCTCCCCTTCTTCGCGATCACTTTATCTTTTGAGTTAGAGAGAGCGAGAGTGTGGAATATGAAGAGCGATTGCGTTTTGCAGAAGTTGAAATGATGAAGGAGCGGTTCGCTAAGCTGCTTCTCGGAGAAGACATGTCTGGTGGTGGTAAGGGGGTGTGCACTGCGCTTGCAATCTCTAATGCAATAACTAATCTCTCTGGTTAGTGATTCTGTCATGTATTAATTAGTGTGTTAATTAATTAAGTAATTTGTCTAGTGTTTTTTTTAGACTTCACTGTTAGAAGAAAATAAAATATGTTTTCAAGGGAAGTATTCAGTCCAGAGTTTTATATGAAAGTAAAGTGTTAAGTGCTTATGACTAAGATTGTTGTTACTCAAGGTTTGTGAAAAGGAGTTAAGATGGTTTATGATGGTAATTGCAGCAACTGTGTTTGGTGAACTTTGGAGGTTGGAGCCGCTGGCACCACAGAAGAAGGCAATGTGGCGTAGGGAAATGGAATGGCTGCTATGTGTGAGTGATTCCATCGTGGAACTGGTGCCATCTGTGCAGCAATTTCCTGGGGGTGGAACCTATGAGGTGATGGCCACGCGTCCTCGCTCGGATTTGTACATCAATCTTCCGGCTCTGAAGAAACTTGATGGGATGCTGCTTAGTATGCTTGATGGGTTTCACGACACGCAATTTTGGTATGTTGACCGGGGAATCATATTGGATGATTCCAAGGATTGTGATGCCTATGGTAGACCATCGGTTAGGCAAGAGGAGAAATGGTGGCTTCCCTCTCCCAAGCTACCCCCAAATGGCTTGTCCGAGGAAAATAGGAAAAGGTTGCAGCAATGTAGGGATTGTACCAATCAGATACTGAAAGCTGCTGTGGCAATTAATACTTTTGTGATTGCTGAAATGGAAATTCCCGGCGCATATGTAGAGTCCTTGCCCAAGGTAAGTAATCATGCTCTGTGCTTCAAATAGGAAATGAAGTAGATACTGCCCATAATTTTTGTCATGACCGAATGAGAATCATGCTACAAGTAGTTGGCAGTCATCAGTTATAAGAATGCATCTGTGAGACGGACAAACTTCTATTTTGTGAAATGTCTAGTTTTGAGTGCTAAAATCGTGGTTTAAAGTGAAAAAAAAAAGGGGGTAGGAAATCTGTAATGCGTTGATAGGTAGTTGGTATTCCTATTCTTTAAACTAGGTTAGATATTGCTGAAGACTGAAATGCCTGTGTGTTCTTTGTTGTGTAACTACAATGCAGAATGGAAAGGCTTGTTTAGGGGATATAATTTATCGATACATAACGGCAGACCAGTTTTCACCTGAATGTCTCCTTGATTGCCTGGATCTTTCGTCAGAGCACCACACTCTGGATATAGCTAATAGAATTGAGGCTGCAATACATGTATGGAGGCTGAAGGACCATAAGAAACATCTAAGTTCAGCCAAAGCTAGACGGTCTTGGGGTGGAAAGGTGAAGGGACTTGTTGCTGACAGTGAAAAGAACAAGAATCATTTTCTTGCCCAAAGGGCAGAGACGCTTCTAGAAAGCTTGAAACATCGATTTCCTGGCCTCCCTCAGACTGCACTAGATATGGCCAAAATTCAATATAATAAGGTATGTCATTTTTTCCACCCAATCATTAGTTTGGATTGAACTCATAATTTGTTCTGTTCATCTACATGGTGTGCCCACTGCTTGAACTCATAATTTTGTCAAGGCATTGGCTACTTGGAATATATTATGTGCTTCTGATTGAGAAATTCTATTGTTGGTGCCAGTTAGCATTCAAAACTTTGAGCAATGGTCTAAAGAATTATTAGGGTTTCTTTGCACAAGTAATTAGTGAGGGAAAATTAAGGATTTACTAAGATTAAATGCTTTGTATTCCCATGCAGTATACATTCTAGTGTTTTCTCAATTTCATGGTCCATATTCATGATTTAGTGTAGCATTTTTCAGTTTATGAATTCTGTCAATATTTAATCGAAACCGTGGGTAAAAGTAACCAATGTTACGTACTTTGGTTTTATATATGTTTTGTCATTAGTTTACAATTACTGGGGATGGTGTTTGTGTTGGGAGAAGGGTGGTTTGGAATAAAATTTGTTGAAGTTTTATTGTTTTTTTCATTGCAGGATGTTGGACAGTCTATTCTTGAAAGTTATTCAAGAGTGATGGAGAGCTTGGCCTTCAACATAATGGCGAGGATTGATGATGTCCTTTATGTAGATGATAGTATAAAGCGATGTGCAGCTGCAGATTCTCTCTCATTGTTCAGCAGGGGAGGTTTCGGTGGGATGCCCATCCAGAAGCGATTCTCTCCTAGTCCCTTCTCAATTCAACACACCCCATATGCCTCCCCATTTGCAACACCATCGTTTTGCTCCTCCTCTCCTGTTACTGGGAGCCCTTGCAGTCCTGCAAGGATACATGATATGAAGAGAAATGCTCCAAAGGAGGGGGCAGATTCGAAGCAAGACAATTTGGCCAAATCTGAGTTTGAGAGAGTTTGGTCATATGCCGGAAACCTGAGTTCAAGAAGAGCGTCTGGTGATGCTCCAGAAAGAGATTGAGTTCTACAATTAGTATTACTTGCTTTCATAGTTGCTCATCAATCATCTTGTTTTAATGTGGATCTGGCTAAGGCTCTTGGTCCTGCTCCCTGTACATGAGGGTCTAATTTTTGTATATTCTTAGGCAGTATGAGTAGGCTTATGATGAAAGATCATGTTCTAATGGATTATTAGTTAAAATGTTTCCTCCCAAGTATAAATTTCTAGAGGTAGGCTTCTATAATTTCCAAATTCTAAGTAGAATTCAGGACTACATAGCTCATTCGAGATTCAGCATTATACATGTGCGGATGTACCCTTGCTCTTCCCCCTGCCACGACATCAAATAATATGTAGTCAGGCCGATGAATCCCTAGTCTCAAAATTTCCTGCTTTAAGTTGAAAACAATTATATGAATTCTTTAAATAGCCAAGCACTACCTCCATTCTACATTTTTTATATGGCTAAAACTTAGGTTGCATGTTAGCAAGTTGTGAAAATAAACATTTACTGCGCTCTTTCCTTATTTGATGTGGCTTCCACCAGCCTTAATTTTTTCAATTGATGCTAGATTTTGGCGGTGAAAAGTAAATAATTGCTTTTTCCTGTCTCTCTGTCTTACCATATGCATGAACCTATTTTAGCAATTACACATCTCATAAGGCAATTTTTTTGTCAAATGTCATAATCGATAGTCACATTACGACACCAAGAAAGAATTTAACTACAGTATTCGAATAACATCTTTGTTTTTAGTTGTTACCCAAACAAAAGTAGACTTCAATAATATTCAAATGCAGATGAAAAGTATATTGGTCAAATGGTTATAAGGTCTGTTCTGAAATTGAAGAGATTGATTTAGGACTTCCAAGTAATGGAAGTCACGTTCCTTGAATACATATTAATTAATCTCAACCATCATGGAACATAAATATGAAGAAAGCTTATTGTAGTCACACCTTGAGATCACGTTTTTCTTATAGATGTTATTCAAATGAAAATCGATCACGACACCTTACATTCATTTTTATTGAATCTGTAAATGCCCATCCAACCATATCAATATTATCATGAATTTGATTTATAAAGTCAACCATGGGGCCCGTGAGTGAACAAATCCCTAGGTTTAGAAGAGTTTCTGCTTACAAAAAATACCGTTTTAAGAAGCGAATTATTGCTTGTATCAGAAGCAATCAAAGCAAATTGTCCTGTGCAACAAGTGAAGTAATAATGTAATATCTCCTCTTTTCAAACGTTACCTATCTTAGACCACTTTCGGTTTGTTAAAAAAAAGAAAAGAGTTGAATGCAATGTATTAACCTTTTTTTTACCTATAGAAAAGTAGCTAGAAAATAAACACTTTCACAATCTTCATATTAAGCTACGTATCTATGTAATGCAATATAATATCTTTTATTATATTTTGATTTTCTATTTATTATTTTTTTATAACAACGTCAATAGACATAAAAGTCTATGAAAAAAATAAAGATTTAATTAGACCAATAACCAAATAAATGATTAAAAAGATTCAAAAAATATTATAGTAGAAGGTGACTATTTTGTAAGAGATCTACTAGTCAAAGATTTAAGTTCCTCAGGAAGCTAAATTAATTATATATGAGGCTTTGAGAGTTAAAATAAAAATAATATTTTTTTTGTAGTGCTAGAATTTGAACACAAAACTATTAGTTTAAAATTTTATTAGTATTAATTTTTTTAGTTTTTTTATTATTATAAATAGAGTTAAACATAAGAAAACTCTAAATCTTTGTATTTATAATTGTTAAATTGTGAAAAAAGACACCAGATATTTTTGTTAAAGTGAGAATATTTCTTTGATTCTTCCTTGTTCTTCAATCTTATCAAGAATTCACCAATTTTTGTTTTGATCATCCTTAGACTTATCAAACTTTATCTCTAGTGTCTTCTTTTATTCTAATTTTCTCTATTTTATTCTCCATTCCTAAATTTTTGTCTTTAATTGATTTCAAATCCTAATTTTTTTCATTAATTTTTATTTTGAATCTTATCTTATTGAAATCATTAGAATACTTTTATATATCTTTAAAATATATGTGCTCAATTATTTAATATTTTAGTTTTTATTCTCATAACAAAAAACATATATTTATTGCCACTACATTAATAGTATAATACATATAAACTAATAATTTAATAAATAAAATCATTATATATTAATATACTTCTACGTAAATGTAGATATATTTCATATTATGTGTAAAAAAAAACTAATTAAAAATATACGTCAAAATGTTATTTTTAGTGTTTAAATATATAAAATAGATTATCAACAAAAAATTTATTTGTTTTGGGTTTTTTTATTAAAAACAAATTAACATTTTTACAATCGTCAATTATTTTATAAATTAGTAGAAATCGAAGCAAATTTATAATGATGAATTCATAATCTTCAACGGATATATTTTAGTATATGCTTTCTAAGAATTTAAAATATTAATTTCTTTTTCTTTATTGACTCTAATCATTAGCATCCATAATAATTTTAATTTCTCTTTTATAATAAAGTTTCTACAAAGGTCTATTAATTAAGTCATAGCACAATCTAAAAAATATATATATTTAAAAACTATAAAATTGAGTATTTAAAGTTTGTATTTTTCGTAAAATTGCCCATGTGTAACCATCTCGATGGTGTGTCTCAAACACAGAGTGAACACTTAGTAAAAGAAGACAATTACTATGCATTAATACCTTAAAGAAAATATTTAAAAACTTTTTATTTAATATATTAATAAAAAATTATATTCATATTTGTTTTTCTTATTTCTCTTTCAAAAGTTATTTATTGATTGCCAAAATATTATTTATAAAAAAATCTATTTAAAAGAAAAAAAAAAAAAAACTGAAAGGTAGACGCAGATGGGATGATTACAAAAAGCCTCACCAAATTCTTACATAATATTTGGACACTAGTCCTGAGGGAAAGCCCAACCGCCCCACGTGTCTCTCAAGCGGACCAAGTCCAACCATTTATATTTTCATTCAAATAATATCATTTTTTATAAATTATTTTTATATTTTTTTTATCTTAACATTTTTATTATTACGTTTAAAAATATATCTTTACGTAAACTTAATTTTAGATAAAAAAATAATCTATCAGTCACTCGGATTCGTTTATAATTATAAATCCTAGTCCTCTGTCAAATAATAAGTTGAGATGATTCCGTTAATAATTATATATATATATATATATATATATAATATATTTAATTTTATAAATAATTATTAATTTTTATTTATTAATTAATATTTTTATTAGATAAATTAAAAATTTATATTTATATATTAAAATAACTAATTATAATTAATAATTTAAATTTAATTATTTATTTTTTATAATTTAAAATTAATTATTTAATTTTTATAATTTAAATTATAATATATTTATATATTTTATATAATAGAATATAAAAATATAAATTTTTAATTTTTTTTAATTTTAAAATATAAATATTTTTAGAAATCAGGTTAATCATCTGTCCACCTTCACTAACCGAATTAACATATGAAACAGATAAACCAACAAATTAAAATTATTAATCCGCCTGTTTGATCGTTATATTCAATTTATCGAATAAATTTTCTCAAAACTAATTTTATAGTTAAGAGAGGCTTTAAAATGTTAAATTTCATATTTTGTTGAGAAAATTTTAAAAAATGTTATAATATGAGTATTTTTGAAATAGTTATTTTTTCACAAGTTTTATTTCATGTTTTTTTTTTCATTATATTAAATTATTTAAATTTTATTTTATGAAGAATAATATCATTAAAATGAATTTCAAAAAATTGCAAAGAAGTCCAACTCAAGAAACCGAAAGAAAAAAGTAGCACTCGCGGACCAATCATGAGGTTGAATTTGTTGGACATGTGTATATTCATTTTAGAGACATGTGGCTATCTTCAGAAACACTTCACATACTAGTGATAGATATGCATAATCCAATCCAAGATTTTTTTGATAAGTTTAACTTTTTGTAATTTAATGCATATTTTAATGAATTTCTGAAATATCCCATGATTTTATAATTTAATGGTTTTTAAAAATATATAATTTGTTAATTAATTATTTACTTGTAAAAGTAATTTTATTTAAAATATATAATATTTTAATAATATTTAAATTGTATATTTATTTTATTTTACAGTTTAATTTTATATAATTTTAATATTAAAATTGACATATCACATTAAAAATAAAATAAATCCAATTTTATCTTTTATAAAAAAATAATTACTTAGTTATAAATAATTTGATGACCGTGCATTGTTGTTCCCTATACATTTAAAATAATCTAAGTTCAACATGCATTTATGAGAATTTTATTTAAATTAAACTATGATAAATTCAAAATAACTTAATAACTTAAATAAAACATAGAGAGAAAATAAATTATGTATTTGTAATGTAAAATCAAAATTTATCATTACTTAATAAATATATTATAATTATTATCTTAAAAGTTAAAACTAGCATTTTTTATTAAATTATAATTATAAATTTTTATGTTCTTTTTAAATTAAAATATAATAGATATGATGTGAATACATAAATATTAGATCAGATTAACATTATTTAATATTCAATAATTTCAATATTATTTATTTTTTACTGCATTAATGTTCAACTAACAAACATTGAAATATTAACATTTAGAACATGATGATGACATTAAAGATTTTATTAGTTAGATAGTTAGTTCTCTTTTCTATTTTTAACAAATCATATATTTTATATTTTTACAATTTTACTATTATCTTTTAGTTATAGTTTTGCTCTCACAATATTATTATTATTCAATTATTTTAGTGTATAATTTTAATTAATTTATAATATTTAACAAAAATATAAAGGTGATAATATATATATTATAAGTGTAGATTTGTAGGCGAAGAATGCTTTAATTTAGAATTTATTTGTCTTGACTAACAAAGTTATTAAGAAATAAGGATAATTATAAAAAGGTGATAGGAATGAAATATAAAATATAAATAAATAAATAAATAGAATGAAAGAATTTCAGTGAGGAGGAGGAGGTAGGGTGAATAAATAAAGGCGCGTGAATAGTGGGGAAGAGAAGTGTCATTTGAAGAGAAAGAGGATGGTTGAGATGCATAGTGAGTGAGGAAGAGCAGAGAGAAAGATAGAAAAGGAAAAGAGTGATACGAAGAGAAGTGACTTTGGGCGGTGTGGGAGTCACGAGAGGAGCGAGGAAGTCACAAGAGTCACAAGAAAAGGGAGAAGCGTTGAAGGGAGAGAGAATGGATACAGGTTGTGGGAGGCTGAGCAGGAAGAAAAGTGGTGGAAACGGACAGGTTCTAGACGGTTCCAATATTATGGAGTTGGTTGGAAACGACCAAGTTTTCACCACCTTCGTCGACCATAAGTTCCACGAGTTAGACACAGACAGAGATGGCAAACTCTCTGTGAAAGAGCTCCAACCTGCTGTTGTTGACATAGGTGCTGCGCTCGGCCTCCCTGCTCACGGCACCAATCCTGATTCTGATCATATCTATTCCGAGGTTTCCATTTCTTTCTTTCTTTCTTAAACCACCTAGTAACAACGATTTCAATGCTTTGTTTCTTCTACCGGGTTCTGTGTTCTAACTTTTATGTCCCCATTCCACACAAACATAAAAGAAAAAATTAGTTAATGTCCTCTTCCTTTCTTGCTTATGTGCCTGTATATTATAACTGCTTTGGAATTTTGCCATTGCTGCTAGCGACCATGCTGGGTTCAAAGTCAAAATTTTGTGACTTTAATTCTGCTCATGTGACACATAAATATTTTTTTTCTTTTTTTCTTTACACAACCCTTGTTATTACTTCTATTTGGGTTGTTACCATACAGTTATTTTATTTACACGACAGAGAGAAAAAAAAAACTATTAATTTTAGCTAGAATAAACAATTAGATTAAGAAGATGAAGATGTCATTCTCACTGCTCAGAAAGGGTTTGTTAAGGAAATAATGTGGCGTATTGGCTTGAAACTTTTTCTGTGGCTTTGGTTTAGGTAGTATTCTGAATTTCCTATGTGTTGATGTTTCTCATAAATTATTATTGGTGTCCAAGGGGGGTATTTATAATTGACTTTTGTGATATCATTATATCTTCATCTGATTTGTTTTGGTTCCAATGACCGTTGTTTTGCCCTTATTAAAATATTATTCGTTTGTGGTTTAGGGCTTTAAGCTTTGTTTTTATCCAATGTCTTTTGCGCATTTGCAACATTTTTTATGTGCTTTCAATGCCTCAGATGTTGATGGAAAGACAAACCTTAATTGATTTTTCCAATTAGGTTTTCTACCATCATTTTTTATTTTGGAAAATATAACATGTTGCTTGGAATACATATCCTTTTTCGGGCAATTATGGAGCAAGTTTTTGTCAAAATTTTGACTTCTAGTTGGTCCCAGAAGCATCCTAATCCGTTTATGATAATTTGGACTTATCCTGCAATATGATAAAATGGTCGGTTCTGTGGGACTTGGCTTTTGATTGCAAAATTGCAATTGATTTCTCTGCTCTACTTAACTTTTTGTGGTCATTTTCTTATCTCCATTTAAGGAGGAATCTAGTGAGGAATGTGGTAGAAAATAAAGATAAGCTGGCATTTTGACATCTGAGCTTTAATAATATGTACTTAAACTTAAAATATACTTGAATTTAAGACTAATAATAAAAAATAGTCAGTAAATGCTGGCATAAAGTTTTGAGTTAGACTTTAGAGTGCCGAAAGTCAAACTGTTATTATTATAGTCAATGAAAAATTTCAATGCCCTGGCAACTAGCTGCATTCAGAAACAGAAGGCAATGTTCTGGTGGGGACAGGCAAAGGTTTTCTTAAGCGGCATACTTTGGTTTAAAGCTTTCTCACCTAACTACTAAAGTTGGGCAATCAATAAATTCATAAAGTCACAAGAAGACAAAAAATAAAAGTAGCATTTGGTTCTAAAATAACTTGACGTGATGAAGATTAAATGGATTAGTTTTCTCTTTATTATTATTTCCTTTACAACAAGATTAATTATATTTGTGTGACAAGACTTTGATTGGCCAATATGTTTGGACCAATGAAGAAGCAAGAATTGACATGCAGAATGACTTATTCTGTAGGTGTTGAATGAATTCACACATGGGAAGCAGGAAAAAGTGAGCAAAACTGAGTTCAAAGAGGTTCTCTCTGATATTCTGTTGGGTATGGCTGCTGGACTGAAGCGTGATCCAATTGTGATACTTCGCATTGATGGGGAAGATCTTCTGGAGTTTGTTAATGGTTCAGGTTATGAAGCAGAAATGGTATCCGTATTCTCTCAGATTGAATCCCCTCACAGATCACTGCATGACCATATAATTGAGGCTCTTGGCAAGCTCACTGTGGAACAAGGAATTCCTCCTACATCAGATTCTTGGGTAGCCAATTTCTACAAATATCGTTGACTTTCTTTAGAGATTTAACTTATGTTTTTCTGAAAAGATATGATAAATTTAAACATGACCAACGCAATTTTTCATTTGTTGCTATGAAGCTCATTTTGTACTCCAACCAAGACATAAATGTCTAAAACATATTTCATTTCCTTCCTCTTTTGGCTTTTTAATTTTTGTTTAGGTTTTAAGCAACATTGTGGAACCGGCACTGCAATCTCAAGGTAGATCTGGTTTGGATAAGCCTGTTTCTCAGGAGACATTTTTGGAGGAATTTAAGGTAGTGGCATTGGCTGTGGCTCATCGTCTTAAGGAGCAACCGGTCATAGTTGCTCACAGTGAGAACACCTTTGATGGAAGTGGTGTTAAGAGACTATTATCCAACAAGTTTGAATTGGACAAGGTCTACATTTTTGGGATTGCTTGTAACGATATCTTTCTTGTTCTCTCAACTTTTCATAAACCTCCTTACATAGAATACATAAATATATCATGTGATGCAGACTTTGAACTCAGCTTTAGAGACTTTTCCTAGAGATCGAAATGGAAAGATGTCAAAAGAGTATCTACGGGTGGCACTGGACACGGTGGCTCCAGCTGCTGGTTTACCTCCTCTTGGTGCAATCGAAGAGGTATGGTGTTAACACACAATACCAAATTATCTTCAGTTTCTTTTTATTATTGCGAATGTTCTTACTTCTATATTGTTATACAATTGCTATTTAAAAAGTTACATAGAATCAGTGCAGACACAATAGTGTTACGACACGAATTATATCTTCTTATTATTATGACATTTGCTTATGCACAGACACAGCCTACAAGTTAAAAAAAATACAAGATTTAACTATAACTATGCGTAGTGCCCTAAGTGTAACAAATTATTTTGAAGTGGCGGTGCTTCCTTGGCCATTTATTGAATATTCAGGTGGTTGGTTGTGCAGATGGATAAAGTTATTAGTGAAGTGTTCAAGATGGTGAATGCAGATGAAGCGAAGATGGTGAAAGAAGAGGAATTCAAGAAAGTTTTAACTGAGATACTTGGGAGCATAATGTTGCAGCTGGAGGGAAATCCCATATCAGTTTCTTCAAATTCGGTAGTGCACGAGCCTCTAGACTCATCTTCTACACTTCTTCAGCCAACGTCTAGTGAAACTGCCCCATAGCTGTACGTACGTGTTTAAGTATATGACGGCTAAATGAACCATGAAATATAATAAAAATTTTATTTATGTAAATTATTATTACTACCATAATTTGTGTTTTGCTGTGCCTTTATTTGTGAACCTGAAAAATATAGAATACCATTGAGAACGAAAACTGAATAGTCTCAAGTAAAGATTATTCTACTATAATGATGCATACCTTATCAAACCATTGCAGATGTCTTTAGTAGCATTGTTCAACATTTTAGGGTTTTAACCATATGGTTAGATGAGGGCAATATCACTACTTTTTACTACAAACAATATGAAGTACATCTTATGGGAAGAAGACTAAAATATAAGATTTTAAAAATTTACATATCATTATTAAAAAATTTCCTTAACCGATTTTCTGTTTTTGTTTGTGATAACTAATTATAGTGGCAACAAATTGTTTCTTTCCTTTCATTCATGAGAGTCAAGGAAGATAATTTAAAACGGCATCGTTAGGGATAGTTCCACAAAATCCCATAGTCAATTTTAAGATATCATATTCTCCATCGACCCACTATAATAGATTATACAGGCCAAGAAAGGCCCAACCCAGAAAATCCAATGCCCCATTCCATAGTGAGCCTCTGTGAAGCAACGCTGGGCCTAAACATCTTGCCGGGCTGAGGCCCTCACCTGCATAAGCAGGCCTTCCGGTGACAGTTATGGACACAAAAACTGCCAGTGCCATGGATGCTGCTACCACCAAACACACCATTGGAAAGCCCAATTCCTTGCACCTTTTCTTATCAAATGCCACCGTTATACCAACAAAGAGTACCAAAAACGTGCAAGAGAATTCCAACAACAAAGCATCTTGTGGCTTCATGGCAGAACTTTGTCCTTTGTCACCAATTGCACACAACCTCCCAGAGAATATGTGTCTGCTAATTTTGAGTCCATCACACTCTTGAGTACAAGGAAACCACTTACTGAGCCAACGCATTGTGCAAGGACGTAAAGGAGAGCACGAGAAAGGGTCACAACACCCTTTAAAGCAGCAACGAATGTGAAAACAGGGTTCATATGACCCCCGGATAGAGGAACCATCACAATTAAAACCAAGAAGACTACGCTGACGACTGCAAAAGGAATAAGAAACTTGGGATTGACCTCATGTGATTCCAATCATGCTATGGTGCAACTCGTTAGTGAACATTAGAGCACCACTTGCAATGAACTCTACCAAAGCTGCTTTCCACGTCTGAAAAAGGAATTAAAATCTTACCCTTTAGCTGTTACGAGAAGAGAAATTCAACTAGTAAAACTCAAAAGCATATAAATGATAAACAGAGACAGGAATTCGAAAACCTCTATTGTGAAAATTTCGTGGGCACCAATAAAGGCAAGGAATTTGGACTCTGAAGACTGGTCATGAACTAAGCCCCTAGGCTGTGTCACGACTGTGAACGGGCATTGAAAATTGGTCATTCATTTCAGCCACAATTGGATGGATATATTGTGTGATATCTGGTTTGAGAAACAATGTGCCGGGGGTTTCTATTTATCATTGTTGAAGCTGAGATGAAATATGATGATTTTAATACGAGAGTTTGGGAAACTCAATCATGGCGGAATGGCTTTCATGGCATCTTTGACAAGAGCACATAGCGGGGGTGGGAGAGGAAAACTGGAACAAGGATGGAAGATAAAACGATGGAGTGCTCTGAAAACGAAAACGTTAAGGGGAAGGAAGTATAAATGCTGTGTGTGTGGATGAAATGATAAAGGAGTGGAGTAAGTATATTAACTCATGGGCACACAAGTTACCAGATGCCATGAAAGAACCAAGGCCAATTATCAATGAATATTTCCAAATAAGGATTGAATGGTTATAGTTATAAATAAGGACACGCAGTGATTTTAGAACTAACCTTTTCAAACTATTCTTTGATTATTTGCAAGGTCAATCAACACCTCTTTCACTGCACTTCTTATAGGATTTTACTTCTTTCTTTGATCAAAACATGTATTCATAACGCTACATATGCGTTTTACCTGCATCTGTGGGGGCATACATTGTAATTTGTGTTGAAAACTATTGCAGAATCAAATTCATTTTCCAATTCCGGGTCTGAGACATTCTTTATGATATTGAGAGGATAAATCAAATTGGAAAGAATAAACATTCCTTGTTCTCGCCTCATATTGCTCAACTCCTTTGTAGATAAATTTCACATTATATAAACCCATCATCAAATCATAAAAGTTCTCATCACCCTATTTTCAATTACTATAAAAAGTTGCATCTCAACTTTATGAGAAAATTATATATATATATATATATATATATATATATATATATATATATATATATATATATATATATATATATATATATATATATAGAGAGAGATAGATAGATAGATAGATAGACACAAACAATTCTAACCTAATTTAGATAACTCTGATTGCAAGACCTTCATTAAAATAATATATTTTAATTTTAAGAACTCTTTTAATCAATTTTCATTAGAAATGCCCTGATTCAAAATAAAAGATTAAGAAAAACAGCAGAAAATATTTCCAATAAGTATTGTAACTAAATACTTATATGAGAAAAGTAGTGTAACTAGTATAATCACATTACAGGGATATACAAAAACTAATCTGAAACGAATAGGAAGGTGACTTTATAGTTTTCAATTGTTTGGATTAACAGATTGATATTATTTTGGCCTATTGAATGGTTTTAGACGGTTTTACATCTAATTAATCCCATTTTTTATATCTATGCTCAAAACCCATTTGAATCACATATCAAATTTAAAAACTTTGGCCTCAATAAGAACACACAGACAATAAAGCTATGAAACTGCATCTTTTCTTTCAAACTTGGACTTGTAACCCTGCATTGCATTCTTCTGGCATATCCTTTGAAAAGGAAGTATCATAGACATTCCCACAACAACCGAGAGCCAAGTTTAATACATCATGTTCTCTATCTGCCCAAACCAAACCCTCCTTTGGCAGGTTGATAGACAAAAAATAATACACTATGCAAGCCAAGAAAGGCCCAAGCCAGAAAACCCAATGTCCATTCCAAAGTGAGCCTCCAAGAAACAATGCCGGGCCTAAACATCTTGCAGGGTTCAGGCCTACACCAGCATAACCAGTCTGCCCAGTTACAGTTATGGACACAAACACTGCCAATGCCATGGCTCCTGCCACCACCAAACACACCATTGGCAAGCCCAATTCCCTAGACCTTTTCTTGTCAAATGCCAATGTAACTCCCAGAAAGAGTACCACAAACGTGCATGTGAATTCCACTATCAAAGCATTCCCTGGCTTGACGCCAGAATTCACACTTCGGCCATCAATGGTACAACCTCCCAAGGAATATGTGTAAGCTAATTTGGGGTCCATGATGCACTTTAGTATAAAGAAACCAATTATTGAGCCAACGCATTGCGCTAAGACGTACATGAGAGCACGGGTGAGAGTGACAACACCCTTTAAAGCAGCAATGAATGTGAAAACGGGACTCATGTGGCCCCCAGAGAGAGGAACTGTCACAAGTAGGAACAAAAAGGCTATGATGAAAACTGCAGGGGGAACAAGAAGCTTAGGATCGACCTCGTGTGAGTCCAAGCATGCAACAATGGAAGTGGTCAAGGTGAACATTAGCGATGCAGTTGCTGTTAATTCTGTTAGAGCAGCTTTCCACATCTAAAACAAGAAAATTGAAAGTGCTATTCTTGCTTAATCTTTGCGAGTAACATGAAAAAAGAGAGAATTATAAAATAATTTGGGTAAATATGATGAGAGAAAAAGTGAATGCATGATTATAACTATTTCAGTACTTAAAAAAAGAGTTATATAAAGAATGTAGTGTAAAAAAATTTGGTATAAATATATTTTTCTAAATAATTCTGTCTTAAGGCTTTTGACAAAAAAGGACAGTAATATGCTTCACCTGTAAGAATATTTATTGGGCAATATTCTTCGGACTTATATGTGCAATTAAATCATTAACAGATGCCAGTCATTTAACTGATAACAACACTCAAGCGTGTGCCATAACAAGCAACAACAAAATTGGATAAGATAATTCTATTTCATAACAGATACGTTTGGCATTATAAATGAATATAATGTTGTCATATTTTGGCGTTCTAAGTAATTGTTTTCTTGAGAGTTTAGTTAGGTTTCGTTCCTTCATGGAGTAGGTATCCAACTCTGCCTATTAAAGTAATAATTTTTAACGCAGGAGTCATAGATCATACCTAAGGAATATGCTATTGTGCATAGCACTTAGCGGAACGGTATGAAAGATAGGACAACCTTCTATAATTTTGTAGAAAAGATGGAAAAAAAAGGGTAATTTTGTTTCTTTGTAACAGCTGGTTAAGATTCATCATGTGTCATAATGATTGTAGATATTGGGTAACCAAACTTTTAAACAAGTACAAAGTAGTACATGCTAAAATCTAACCAAGAGATAAGAGGATCAAACGAGAACATAACCGCTAAAATTTTCGTTAATTACCTCTGGTCTGAAAATCTCATGTGCCCCAGTGAAAGCAAAACACCTTCGCCTTAAAGAGTTCTTTTTCATCAAACAGACCGGCTTGCTAGTGTGAGCAGAACTCGGAAGTTGTTTAACAACTACATGGGAATTAGCTAAATCCATGTGTCCACGGATTTCAAGAATAAAGAAATTAATGGTCAAATTTTATTTGTAGAGACTTCTTTTACAAAGCATATTATTTAGCCACCCTTATAATGCATGTGATTGAAACTGATAAGAAGAAATTGCTATTTATAGAGCTTTTCCCATAGCAACAAGATAGCTAGAGTAAGAGCTATAGATGCCAAAATAAGTTATGGTGATAATTCATCTTAAATGTCACGTATAGCACAATGACTGCATAATGTAGCTGCGTGAATGTCTAAGACATGGATAAGTTTGACCACACTTACCTCCTTCGTCAAAACTATTATTTCTAGTTCTCTCCAACTTTTTTGCTGTGAACAAAGCCAATTCTTGGACCTATCCGATCTCCACATTCCAACAATTTAACTATTCAAAAGTAGACTAGTACGTGAATATGTAGAATAATATTATCATATTATCAAGACTCTATTTAAAAAACATATCGTCCTATGAAAAAACGTTAGTAATATCATTGTAGTTATTGCTGCTTTCTGATTTGTGTTTTTTCTATCAAAGTTATGTTCAAAGCCACTGCATTGTATTTAGAGGGCATATTTTAGGCATATTCTGAAAAGATAGGATCAACTATTCTCTTCAATTTCCGAGATTGAAATATGCATGATTTTACTTTTATGGGTGGCATAGATTTATTATTCATTACTTGGCAAGGCATCCCTTGAAGCAGAATACTATCAAACAAATACTATACAGGTTCACATTTTTATTTCTTATTTATGCCCTGGAAAATGAGGTCACCAAAGAGGATGACATATATAACGAATGAATCGCGCACGGATTAATCTGCTTAAACTTTATTTGACTAGAAGAAACATATTTTAATGTTTTCTTTTGGTAGAAGCTTTTTTTATAGTATTACAAAATGTGAATTTTCAGTTGATTCAAAGACAACTTTTGAACCGAACTGGTTGCAGACCTGCTTGGTACTCTTCAACAGATAGCTAACAAATTGAAATTTTAACCTTTTACATCAATGATCATATTCACACAACTGGAATCTGGCATGAATGCTTTCAGGCATGCAATATGACACTTGAACAATACATCAATTTGAATTGCAGATAAACCTGGTTGGAAACCAGACTTGAAAGGGCTAAGAAACAAAAGATTTTCAGTGGAAAATTGATTAGTTGTTGTACTTAAACACCAACCTATCTACACCAATGAGTTAGAAATTGGATTGGTGAGTGATCTTCCTAGAGGAAAAGGGAAGTCTCTTAAGATCATGTAGCATGGAATTCTTAATGATTTTATCAGCCTTGGTGATCCCAGTGACACCAACAGCATCAGGGTCTTGAATAATGGGATTATGCAGAGGATTCAAACGCTCCAAACTAGACTTCAACATCTTATCCTTCCTCAAAAAGTCACCTTTTTTATCGAACCAATCGCCCCAACCTTCTCTTAACGGTGAAACCCTCCTTCCAATGCTCTTCAACAAAAGCGCGTCCTCAACGCCCTTCACTTCGAACGCCATTAACCGCACCTTCTCGTCCACCGCCACGTCATCGGAGCCAAACGCGGTTTTGCTGCGATCCTCCGGACCCACGAAGGGCCCGTCGTCGTCGTTGTTCATAAAGGAGCTCTTGCTGATGGCCCGGCGGATCACGCCCTCCGCGTGATGGAAGAAGTACCCAGACGCAGCGGGGTTCTGATCGAAAGGCTCCTCGTCGTCGGCGTCGGCGTCAATGGCGTCCTCAGGCTCTTCCTCCGGCTCTTCCTCAACCACGTCGAGGGCATCGATTGTGTCGATGTTTTCCTCGCCAGCGATGAAGTCGTCGTTGACAGAATCGGAGAGGAGGGAATCGAAATTGGCATTGTGCGAGCGGTGGGGGATGGTGGCGCGGCGGTGGAGGAGGAGGGAGACAGAGCCGCACACCAACAGAAGGAGACCCGAAACGACAACACACAGGAACACGCCGTGACGGGTGTGACGCCGGGATCGGAGATTTCTCAGCATTTTCTTACGTTGGAAAATTCTCGGGATGCAACGAATGCAATGTTTCAAGTGGGCCCAATTCGGACAAAACCCATGAAGCAGGCCCAAATTTATTGTTTTGGGTCATTAATTGGTAGTGGTTGTGAAAGTATACCAATATCTTGTACTGTCTCTCCAAAATTAGTCACTCAAATGTGCAACTCAACTCAAGTATAAGCCATAAATATCCAAATCGTATTAATTATTTTCTTTTTCACGCTCCTTATACCCATACATGTTATTTTTTTTAAATTATTGAATAATTATTAGAGCATACAAATTTTTGAGAATAAATTTTTTAGTTTTTAATTGATAAAAACAAATGATGATAAATGATTTTTAGTTATCATTATTCCTTTTTTTTTTTTTTATCTTGTGTTGTTGTCACCCTTATTCGCAATATAAATCACTCACATAAAAATGAAAATGCTTATATATATATATATATAATGATTAAAATTTCAAAAAAATAATTAATTGTTTTTTTAGGTATAAATAAAATTTAATTATTATACCGTAATAATAATAATAATAATATTATTATTATTATTATAATAATAAATATTATTTCATATATGTTTATCTTTTTATTTTTATATTATTTCTTCTTGCCTTGTTTTTCTCTTTCACCTTTACACTTTTCTTATTTCAATTTTTGATGTGATACACTCATTTTAAACATAGAAAATTTTCTCTTTTAATTTTTCTAAATTGTTTTCTTCTCTATAATATACAAATTGATCTTTTTTATACAAATTAATTTTTTTCTTCAATTTTGTCTTTTTGTTTCATCATAGAAACGTGGAGTATTAGAAAAAAAACATAAGTTAAAAAATAAAAAATATTTTTTATTTTTCTTTATTTTTATAATATCTTAATTTGTGTATTATTTACTATCAATTAATTATTTTAATATTTTATAACATGATAAATTCTGATGTTAACATGTGAAAAAAATTAGATTGATATTTAGAGATATCTAAAAAAATTATGAATATAATTTTTAAATAAATAATATTGAAATATTATTAAACCAACTAAAATATAAATAATAATGAATAATTTTATGAAAAAAATATTTATATTATATTAATATATAATTATTTTATATTAATATTAATATACATTGAATTATAATTTTATATAATATATATTTATGTTTACATTTTTAATATTTATATTTTAACTAATATGATTATATATATGTACATCTTGTTATTATCAATCTACCAATTGATACTTGTGACATGGTTAATGTGTGGAAAGATGTTGTTGACATGGAATTAATTTGACATTATCAGTTTCGTCTGCTTCCTTGTTGTAGTTTGGTGTGTTAGCAAAATTTCAGTTGTGGTTTCATTTTACAGTCCCCTCTCCATTCCTTTGTTTCAGTTTGGTGTCTTCAGAGAAATTCTACGTTTCATTCTTGTTTGAGTTTGATTTCTTCACTGAGCGTAGTTTTCTCTTATTTTTGCAGTACACTACAAAAAATACAAAAAAAAGTATATAATCTACCGCCAAAATCAAACAAAATATTTTTATTTACTACAAAAGGACATTTTGATAGTAGGTAATGCACAAATATTTTTATTTACGAGAATGGTCACGGACAGAAATCAAATCTAGTATCTTAAAATTGGAGATTAAGACTCAAATCACTAAGTTATTAAGATATTTTGATAATAACTTATAAATAAATTATATTTATATTTATCCATGTAAATATATAAATATCAAATATATAAATACGAGATATATTTATATATTTATATATATAAATATTTATATATATTTACATATTTATATATTTATATATTCATATATTGATATATTTATATATTTACATATTAATTTAATGGTTTGAGTATCGGTTTTCAACTCTAAGGTATTAGGTTCAAATTATGTCAGTTACAATTTTTTTAATTTGATATAATTTATCTACGGATAGTAATTTCGTTACCTACGAAATTATCCACGGACGACATTACCTATGGATAATATCCGTAGGTAATAGATAACTTACATACAATGTATTTTAATTTGATATAATTTACCTACGAATAGTAATTTCGTAGGTAATCGGATGACATTACCTATGGAAAATATCCGTAGGCAATGGATAATTACCCACAGATAAAATTCTGTAGGTAATATCTGTATGTAATGTACAATTTACCTACGAATTTTTATTCGTAGGTAATATTTTGTAGATAATAGGCTTTTCTTTTGTAGTGGTATAGTCTCTTATCTTTGACATTGGGGATGTCTTCACCATTGTCTCTCCCTCTCGTTTTCGCTTTTTATCCAATTCCTTATAATTAACTATTTTTGAAATTGTGGATGCCTTGATAGTGCTTCAAAGTTGTATTTCCATGTTGTTTTCCTATTTATTTCTTTTCGTTTGTTTTTCCTATTTATTCCAATTCTTTGACAGTGACCTCTCTCTAAGGTTTCCCTTTCTGTCCTAATTATTTTACCTTGTTACAGGTAGCATCAATTGTCCCGTGGTGGAGGCAGGTGGGTTGAGTCACAGTCAAATCACAGGTGAGTTACTCTTAAGTAAAAAGAGTTGCGCTCGAACTAATGATTATAGTTTTTAGTCTAGTGGTAAGCGCTCGATCCTAACAATTACTATTAGAGTCAAGGTCACGAGTTTGATTCCTAGTGGGTAATTGTTAAGGGGGAGATTATTGCGGGTTACACAATTGTCCTGTGGCGGAGGCCAGGTGGGCCAATCTAAGTGGGATTCCTCGTAGGACAGGACAATTGCTGAGGGGGAAATTGTTGCAGGTAGCATCTATCGCTCTTTTTTATTTTAGCCCCTGTTTCATTGAGGGGAAATGTTGTTTACACAGACAGAAAGGAGGGAGGGGAATTTGTGTTTGGATGAATAGATTTGCGCGAAAGGAAAAGAAGAGAAAAGATGGACTCCTTTCAAACTCCTCCCTCTCTCATGTGGGAAGAAAGGGGTGGAAAGCCATGTCGAAAAAGGCAAAAGACGAAGTTGCCCTCCCTCATTCCATCGTGCATCTTGTGGTGCATGGAACTGTTGGTGATTCCCTCGGGTTGTTCTTGCACATTCTTCTGCTCTAAGGTCAGGGATGCATCAAAAGGAGAGGTAAGTCATGCAAAGGTCATGGGCTGCATAGCCAACTTCACACGTTCACAGTGTATTTTGTGTAGGGGAACAAGGTCAAATATAGAACCAATTGAGAGTAGAACTGTTCGTGAGTTCTTTTGTTTCTCTTCTCATGTGGGAAGAAAGGAATGAAAAGCCACGTCGAAAAAGGTAAAAGAAGAAGCTGCCCTCCCTCATTCCATCGTGCATCTCGTGGTGCATGGAACTGTTGGTGATTCCCTCGTGTTGTTCTTGCACGTTCTTCTGCTCCAAGGTCAGGGATGCATCCAAAGGAGAGGTCAATCATGCAGAGGTCACGGGCTACACAACCAACTTCACGCGTTCACAGTGTATTTTGTGCAAGGGAGCAGGGTCAGATATAAAACCAATTGAGAGTAGAACTGTTCGTGAGTTCTTTTGTGTTTCTCTTCTCATCTCCTCAGTTGCTTATCTTCCTCACTTGTTGCGTTCCTCAGCTCGTAGTTGTGTTCTCAGTTAGCTTCTATTGTGAGTTGTGTTCTCAGTTAGCCCCTGTTTTTAGTTGTGTTACTGAGTTGTGAGTTGCTTTCGTGAGCCCGTGTTTAAGATACTCATCTTCTTCAACTTCTGTCTCTGTTGGAGCTCATTGGAACCATAGGTAAGCTTCTCCTTTCCTTTCAACCATGGCAGCCAAAAATAACCACTAGAGGAGAGTGTGCCGCCAGAACGAGAAGACAGAAGCCGCTGGAGGAAGAAGACGCACCATAATCGATTATGGCGCCAACCATAATCAATTATGGTGCGTCTTCTTCCTCCGACGGCTTATGTATCATCGTTCTAGCGCCAGACTCTCCTCTGGTGGGCACCTCTCCGGCCGCCATGGTGGGCCTCATGGGTGTAGCTGGTCCAGTCGTGTACATGCATGAGAGGAGGTCCATAATCCCCCTCCACAAGCAGTTGTGCATGGCGACGACCACCTCTGCATGGCGCATGGTAGGAACCAAAAAACAGCTTCATGACAACCTCTGCATGACCATCTCAGGCGGCGAGGGTGGGCCTTGTGGTTGCGCCCCTGTTTGGAGCCCCATAAATGTGGATCCATGGTTTGTCATATGCGAGGTTAATTTGTTTGTATTTGTGTTGCAGGATGGATCTTTGCAGGCAACCATCAACTTTGGCGTGACCTTGTCCCACCAACATCTTGCTTGATATCTTGTCAGAGGAACACCCAGGTATGGTTCTGTGTCTTCTCTACCATGGTTGGAATCTCAAACTTGGTTGGTGCGTATGCTTTTAGAGTCTACATGCATGCATCATTCATAAGAGTGTGTCTGACCATTCAGATTTGAGGTATACAACATGAGACGAGGCGAAACCTCCTCGACTTCAACAGAAAATGGGCACCATACGACCATGGTTTCTGACTTGTGCGTTGGTTATGTTGTTGTTGCAGGCTGTATCTTAGGGGCACCGTCAATATCGTCGTCAGCTTGTCCCACGAAGAGCTTCGTTCATATCTCCTCCCACAGGTATGATTCATATTGCAACCTGAAACTGGTTCTAATGGTGTTGTACTCCATGCATGGTTGAGGTAAAAATTGGTAGCTACCGTATGCATCCATCTTGGAAGCAAAAACTCGGGAATGATGGAAGCAAAAATGGGAACGAAAAGCTGGAACCAAAAACCCTGTTTTTGCAATTATAATTATTATATGAAAATTTTGAATTTTTTTATATATACTGAAAAGAAAAAAATAATTGAGAGATCATACATGAAAAAAATTTAGTAAAAATTATGGCGAGACACTATTAATGCATAATTAAATAAGAAAAAAAAGTTAAATATAGTTATATTTAAAAAATAAAGTTATTGTTTTTATAACAAATGGAGTATGTAAAATTGAGAAAAGAAAAAATTTATAGAAATGAGAATTTGTTAACAAAGAAGTAAAAATATTAGTGGAAAAAAAATTATTAGTAGCTTTGTAAATAAATTTTGGGTTTGTGAAACAAATTTTTTTATCATTTATTTTATATTAATTAATTTTTATTTGATAACAGAATTCTTGATATATAAATTATTAGAAACATAAATAAAAAATATATAATTGAGAATTATGTAAAGATGAATTATCTAATTTAGTAATTGTGAATGCAAATTTCATAAAATATAAAATCAAGTAGGTTTAATTATATATCTTTTATTGATATCTTCTATAATTGAGATAAAAGATACAAATACAAAGGAAGAAAAATAACATAAAAAACTTTTATATTATTTTTAATTACTTATTTTTATAGAATTTAAAATTCAAATATTTTAAAAAAATTCCAATTACTTAAATGGATTGAATTATGTTTATTAAAATGTAATTTAATAAATAATTTTTTATATATATGACTTAAATTTATAAATTTAAATTTAAAAATTTTTTAGGTCAATTGAAATAACTTTTAGCTTTATTATAAAATATATTATATATTTATATGAATAAATGAAAAATATGAATTAAGAATACTAATTTAATAAATTGAAGAGTAAAATAATTTTGAATTAATAACAAATTGATAATTATTAACAGTAAGTTTATGAAATATTAAACTTATATGATTTTAGTCTTGTATACATTAACTGAATATATTTAATTTTCTAAATATTAAAATTATATACTTTGAATTACTTCCATTAAACATTAATTATATATATATATATATATATATATATATATATATATATATATATATATAATTTTGTAGATGTTAGACAAAAACATCGAGGTCGTTGATTTAGACAATGACGATATAGATACTGGTTTGGATATAAACATAATTTCACAGATACAAAGTGAGATAAAAAAGCGAAGCGAAGTAGGAGCGATGACAATTCTTTGTCTGATAGCATATGGGTTAAATATGTTGTCTACGGTAACTTGTAGTAGGAGTAACATTAGAGACTTTATTTCTGAAAAAGAACGTCGTCGACACAAGTTGATGTCATACCTTATTCATATTGAACAATCTCGTGACATTATTCGCATGGGACCAGAGGCATTCATTAACTTGTGTCAACAGTAAGGGCAACTGGATTAGTAAACGATGGGTTACAATCAACAATGAAAGAACAAGTGGCTAAATTTCTCCATATTATCGTACATAACATTAAAAATCAAACTGTTTCATTTTTCTTCCATCGATCTGGTGAAACCGTTAGTCGACACTTTCATAACATGTTGAATGCGATAATAATGTTGGAGGAACAATTAATTGTTCAACCATCAGGAAGGAATGTGTGTCCGTATACATTAAACAACAATCGATTTTACCCATACTTTAAGGTAATTTACTCACCAACTTTGTGTCTATATAACATACACATAGATTGTCTAAACTTTAATGACAATAATTTTTTTTGACCAATTAGGATTTTTTAGGGGCGATAGATGAAACTCATATTTGAGTTAAAGTTGCAAGATCTGATGCCTCTCGTTTTCGTGGAAGAAAAGATTGGTCATCACAAAACGTATTTACAATTTTTGATTTCGACATGAAATTTACATATATTCTAGCAGGGTGGGAAGAAATAACATCTGATTCAAGAATATTAAAGGATGTTCTTACGAGAGAGGATCGCCTTATCATACCACAAGATTTATTATTTATAACGTGATGATTTTGTGTATAGTCATCTAGTTTAAATATTCTAGTTAGTATAACTTCAATGATTTTAAATAAGTAAATACTACTTAGGGGATGTTGGATTTATGTTAAAAGCAAACATAATGACCCAGGCGTTAGATACCACCTTAAAAAGTATTCTCGACAAGCTCCACAAAACCCCCGAGAATTGTTTAACCATCGACATTCGTCTCTTAGAAATGTAATTGAAAGAACATTTGAAGTTTTGAAGAAAAGATTTCCTATAATAACTAGTGGAAAAGAGCCTCATTATTCATTTGATACAATGACAAATATAGTCCTAACATGTTGCATTCTACACAATTTTCTTCGAGGGGTAGACAATGATGAATCACTATTAGCTGAAGTGGATCGAGAGTTGATGGAACAAGATGTGGATAACATGTCGACTCAGGTTCGGGAAGAGGATTATAGGAAAGGGTAAAACTTAAGAGATGTTATAGCAAATCAAATGTGGATAGAATATCAAAGTCATTAGATTTTGTATGTAACAATATATTTAATGAAATGTACTATTGTTATTGTTGAAATATTGTTACATTACGATTATCCATTTATAATAATTATATGTTAGTATTGTAATTACATATATTGTCTTTCCAATAGGTTTAAAATGAACAGAAGAAAGGATATTGTACCAGATTCATCAACTGTAGTGCGCGAGTTTACAAAATGGACTGATGACATGGACTTTCGGTTGTTGACTGCTATGCTTGATGAGGCAAGGTTGGGTAACCGGGTTAATGGTAGTTGGACAACCCAAGCATATAATAATATGGTTGAATCCCTAAGACAATCTAGATTAATTGGTATAACAAAAAATAATGTTAAAAATTGACAAAAAAGTCTTAAGGATAGATGGCGGGAGGTCCACAATTTGTTTCATGGACTTAGTGGATTCGCTTGGGATGATATCACAAAACGGTTTATGGATGAGCAAGAAGTATGGGATGACCTGATCAAGGTACTGTTATATGAATTATCATTTGTTGATATAGCAAAACATAACAATTACGAGTGTTAATCATTCTCATTAATTTGTAGGCGAAGCCTTCTACAACTAAATGGAGACTGTCAATCATAAAATATTATGATTTGATGGAAGAATTGTGGGGTGTTGATCGAGCCACTAGGCATATGGCAAGAACTTCGCGTCAGTCTTGGAGAAATATCAGTTCTCGAAGGGAAACAGTCGACTTGAACGTGGACCCCACACCAGAGGAGCAACCATTTGACTTTGGCTTTGATGCAAGATTTGATACAGCTTACCGATCGTCTCCACGCATGGGTTCCGACAGTCCTGCTGAGGGTGCTCAGTCAATGTCATATGTTGCATCTACTGGTTCAGGTGGAACCTCTTCATCTCGAGACACAAAAAGAAAAGCGCTTATGGTTAATGTGATGGAAGATCAATTTGACAAACTAACAACGAGGCTGGACACATTTACAGATTACCTAGGTCAAGGTAATACATTGACCCAACGATTATCTGACATAGCTGAAAGACAGGTGGTCGCCATTGAACGCAGAAATGATTTAATTAATAAGCAAGTTAATGTGATGAGGCGATCATCAACATTTCAACATTCCGAGTTAGATATATGAGACATGTTAGTCAGCATGAACCTAAACGACGAGCAACTTATGCTTCAGTGTTATAATTATTTGTGTACTTACGAATCACATGTTAGACGATTTTTTGGCTTGCCTCCACATCTTCGTCTCTCCCAGTTGTTCATGTTCTTGGGTGGAAGTGATTGAATGGTCTGTTATAAAGACCTCAAAATGCTTTAAGATTCATTTAGGAACTCTTCGATCACAATGAATTTGGCAGACCTACTCGGAAAATCTTTCGACGAGATACTGTTATTGAAGTACATTCTGACAAGGGAACTTCTGACCTCGAGGATTTGACTACAGAGGATCAAGAGCATTATAATTATATGTTTGGGAAACATTAGTGTGTATAGGTTTATAATTTTAGTAATGTTTGTCAAATATCTAATGTCCGTATTAATTAATATTATTTGATAATCAAAATTTATGACATGTAATTCTAAAATCTATATATATATATATATATTTTAAAATTCTGTGTTGAAAGTATAAAAATATGATAAAAATATATATTAATATAATTTTTAAGTAAATAGTAAATATTTTTACTATTAAATTTACATGAATTTTTTATTTAATTATTATTTTATTTTCACTATATTTTATATTTATTTAAAATAATAATTTACAATTATATTATTAGTTGTCATAATTATTTGTTATTACTAGTTAATATTAATTATTATTTTCTACTTTATTATCATTTAATTAATCATCTAATTATTAATTACATAATTTATTTAATATGTCAAAATTATTTTTTATGTATATGCAGTGTAAATAATTTTGTAATTGTTTATTTATATAATTTTTAGTAACTATTTTAAAAAAATTTAATTTATTATTTTTTTTCCACGTCCAAACAATGTAAAAATTTTATTATTATTATTATTTGCTTCCAAATATGCAGTCAAAGTTAAAATGCGGGTAGTTGATTAAAAAATTACATTTATAATAATTCTAACCTTATTTTATACATAAGGGAAAAATGGTAATTTTCTCAAATAATCAATTAAAATTATAATTTTTATATTTCATATCAATCAAATCACTCACCATTTCTTGTAAACTTTTCTTTCATTTTCCCTTCATCCAAACAACTTTAATTTCCCTTCAAATCCCTCCTTTTCCACTCCTCCATTTCCACTCCCCAAATCACTCCAACCAAACAAGTCCTTAGAGCTTTTACAATCGTAATTTTTTCTTTTAGGGATCATTGTGGTATCTTGCTTGCGAACGATCACTGTCAAAAGTGCATGACAAATCATGTGGAGGTAGGACAATATAGGAAACAAAACTGACTACGCAATCATAGTGAGTACTATCATTGTATTGATGTTTCCTGCTGCATTTTCCGATGTTTTAAAAGGGAAACATTTTTGTGCATTTTTT